AGAGAGAGAGAGAGAGAGAGAGAGAGAGAGAGAGAGAAGGATCCCTTTCACACATATCAGAGGGCCCCTGCAGGTAATATGAAGGGTCCTCGCAGCAAATTAGCGTAGACCCTTCACCAAAATTAGGGCAGGCGATCAAGCAGAAACTGGAGAAATTAAAGGTCAGAGTATGAAGTGGAGCAGGAGCTGGATGAATGTATACTCTGGATTCAAATTTAGGTCTGTGTTTCAGCAGGTATGGGTTGCTCACTTAGGTAGGCCCTGTTTGTCTCTGCAGGTGATTCTCAGGGCTTGGCTGCACTACTCACCAAATGTGAAAACTTAGAACGAATCTTCTGCTAGAACGTGGAATAATACGCCGCCATATGTTTTGTGTTTTGTGCATGTGGTGAGTAGAGGCCCTTAGGGGAAGTTAGGGCGACTGCACATATTCCTAAGAAACGAAAAACAAAAGAACAGAGAAGTAGTGACCCATAACGGCTGATACACGGACCTGAATTCGAATCCAGACTATATATTCTCGCCCCATTCACACCACACTGGAAGTCTTACGCCTATTTCTGCTTCATGATGGGTCCTTGCTAATTTGTTGTAGGGGCCCTTTGGAAAAAAGACCGGACACAATAAGGACATGCACACCCACACTCACACCCATGCACTCACAGTTTTGGGGTATGACATGGCCTCAATGCTTTTTCCCTCTTGCAGTTTGATTCTTAAAGGGAGGGGCATGTTTTGCCACCCTACCCTGTCCTTTCCGGTTTTTTTTTTTTTTGCATCACGTACGTGCGCGTGCATGCGTGTGCGCTCTGCGCCGCGACCCCACGCACGGCATGCGCTGCAAGTATGATCGACAATCATTATAATTGACATGATAGATGTAATACGGTAATACCGACACAGCATGTGTCGGTAACGACTAACTTGGTGTTGCAATTTCTTCAGGTTTGGGCTACCGGAAGCTTTTTATGAGATCAGACAGTTAGCCAGTGCTTGTTATTATATCAAATTTTTCGCACCATGAATTCTGTCAGAAATGTTTGAAAGACCGTGAAAAGTGCACAAGACACACACACACACACACACACACACACACACACACACACACACACA